ATTCGTGCCTGCTATGCGCACGATACCATGCCTGTTTACCTATTTTTATCATGAAAATCGAGTCATTCGTGCCTGCTATGCGCACGATACCATGCCTGTTTACCTATTTTTATATCATGAAAATCGAGTCATTCGTGCCTGCTATGCGCACGATACCATGCCTGTTCGGTCTCTTTTTACATCACAATCCGCGTGCTGCCCTTGCTTAGTGTGTCGTTTTAATAGCCCTAAGTTGAGTGTATTATTTTAAATTTTATTTATGAATGGGTACTATCGATGACGTAACAGATGAAATATTGTGCTATATATTTGRACATCTATCAACATTTGAAAAAATTGCCCGCATTCGTTTGGTTTGTCGTCGTTGGAATGTGCTTGCCAAACAACCACAATTATGGATTTATTTATTTTTTTTATTTATGTCCATTTGGGATACCAACGTCTTCTAACTGCAAAAGCATTTTGTGAGATTGTGTGTAAACCAACAAAAGATATCATTATTGACGAATGCMACTTGCTTAACTGGAACACCKTGYATGAATGCATTACCAGAACGAGGTTATTGCGGTGTCTTAGCTGTGCCTGGTTGACCAAAACTCTAACAGAACAAATGGACTTTACAAACTTGAATATGAAAGGTCTTGTCTATTTAAACATAAGCCATTGCAAAATTGATGATCCTTTTTTTCTATCTCTACCGAGTGCCTGTCCTAAGCTTCAAACTCTCATTATGCTGGATTGCTCTACTGTCCACCATAGTGCATTTCGAAGTTCTGACTTCAAAACACATCGGCACTTAAGACTTTTGAACGTTGCTTATTGCCCAGAAGGTGAAGAAAGTATTGGAACTTTATGTGCCATTTTCGAGTATAATTTTTGTACAGTGAAAGTAGACTCTACAGGATTTAGACTTTCAGAGGACGATGAAGAGATGCTTTTTCAATGCCACGAAGATTACAATAAAACAATAGAACACGAAATGAGTCGAGCGTAATAAATGATAATTAGGAACGATTTAGACGCCCGAGGCACGAAATCAAGCGTGCAGCTTTTGAAAATAGGCACGAAATGAGGCGCTCGAGACACTAAATGAAGCAGTATCGTGCTCTGGTCAGGGCACGATAAGGAAAGAAATCATGCGCTCGAGTGTTTTGAAGGCACGGAATGAGGTGACAT